TCTTATTGCTGGAGTAAGCCTTGAGCTTGACCAGCGATAGCTCAGCCAGCAGCAGCGAACTCGTGGATATCTGAGCGTTATGCAGTAGTGGACAGCTTCTGTTACAGACTGCCCGTGACTACTTGTAGACCAAATCTGATATGTCCTGCTCAATGAACGCTTATTCGTCATTTGCTCCGCATTGATTGTATATCACCTCGTAAATTTTGAGTTGCAAAAGTGAACTCCAGAAATTCAGAAAGCTGTACTGGAATATTTGTCGGTGAATTTAAGGATTCATACTAAGTAAACTACTGAAACTGCCAAGCGCCCACTAGTAAACCACAGTAAGGAGGCAGAATGTTGATGGCTGAATGTACACATGGCACCAGTTCGAAGTCAGATGTAAGTTACTTTCATAGAGGAAATGTTATAACCGCTGATTCGCTAATCTATTTTACCTGGCTGCTGACCCGCTCCAGTTCCTAGTGCCATAAAAAAAGACTCACCGAAGGAATCACAACATCTATATTCCGAACGAGCGAGTGCGAGAGTACAACGGTCTCAAGCTAAGTATTGGAGGGACACTGTCTAACTTGGTCCAATGCTGAAGCACGCGGTATGGCTTTGGTGCGAGGCCGAGACGCGCTGCATCTTACGGGAGCATTGTCTGACCTTGATCAACGCTGACTAACGCTGTCTGGGTTTGCTACAAGGCTGTGACGCGCTGCATATTGAGGGGGCGTTGTCTGTTTGGACAACATCTAGCGGAGCTGAGAGTCTCAATAGATTTCGGGTATTCAGTGGTTGCTTTCACGAATCTGGCTTTCCTGATAGGAAACTACTCACAAGACTTCTAAAAACTCTTCAGCAAATTCAATTAAAGAATATCATGAGAGATTCAGCTGACTGTCCCGTGTAAACCGAATTGATATGCGAATGAGATTGTTTGTCGAGACAACTGTTCGTTGATTCGGATTCTTTGTGTTGACTTCTGGAAATCAGCAAGTATATTTCCATCAACTCTTAACGTAGATCGTTAAATCGATGTTACTATGGGTACAAGAATATTGATCAACTACGCCGATGAAATTACTGGAAATGTCTGCTGTTCCATCGGTAATTTCAGCGAACTCGCTTTACTCGAAGGCATCCTTCGGACGGTGCTGTGCAGCTGACTTGTATGGTGGCCCCATTTAAACACTGCTCACTTTCACCGACGCTCCAGAATGTACATCCATCGGACGTAACCATCCATCGGTACGTAACCTTAAGATTCATATCGTACTTGTAGTAAAGGCTGTTGTAACAGGCGTGAAGATCAGAATGATTCTGAAACGTTTGTTGTGTGTCATGGAAAAATATCGAAGAGGAAGAGCTTAGTAAGATTAGAATTTTGACCAATTCTAATAGAGAAATGCGTTTATCGAAAGCTGGTAACCTTCCAGTCGTATGACCAACTGAGACTCTACTTGGTCATGCGTTCAGCAGGCAGTTTACAAGATGGCTTCTAAAATCAAACTGATTCGGAAACATGGTACGATGATTTTCGTTTACACGATGACTGCATTCATCTAATTACAGTGATCACGGGATGAAGTTAAAGCGGTGTAGTTACGCGTGATCGATCCATCCACGTGCTTCTCATGCCTCAGACACTGCAAAAGTCACCGTAGTTTTTTTTACTTTCGGGATGATCTAAAACGAGACTTGTACTGATTCACACAAAACGATGTCTATATGTCAACAATGCTGGAGAACTCGCGAAGTATTTTGCCTAAAGACTGCAGAGACTGTGTTTTAATGCAAACCAGTTTACTGAGGTGGAAGAACATATTTTCATACTGTTACCAAACGCTGTAATGTGGACTTTGACCACCCAAATTACCCTACACCCAAGTATTCCTCCAAACAAAGCCTATGTTCTCCGTGCGAGGGAGAAACAACCATTGAGAAACAGATGCCTACGGTCGTTTCTTTATCTAGTTTACCGAAACGACACATTAGCCCCGTGGCATTGCACAATTACTACGTAACGAAATGCGACGTAGTGCCGTCCGTTGTTGTGCTTTGCTTATTCCACTCACATGATGCTACATATGAGGCCAACGAAAACTCTGTTTTGCCTTATTTTATTGTCAGGAGGCAGGCAGTCCTCTTATTTCCATCAGTCTTGCGTCATAGCTAAAAACAAGATTCTACGTATATTGAAACACACTTGTCTGCAAAGTATGTTGGTAATAACGAGAGAACCGACCACAATCCCACTGAATCTTTCGTCTCCAATGCTCCTTAGCTGGATGCAGTGCACAAAGCCCGCCTCATGCTTCAGTTGTACTATATTTGAGGAGCCGATTGTTCATAATAAAGATGAAACCAAGGTACAATGATCGTTGGATTTTTGACACGAGTTGCTTTCACTTACATGATGTAGTTTTGAATGGGAATCTACCAACGAGTGGAGTTTTCAGAAGCCTTATAAGTAGTATTCCTACAAAAAACTGACTGCATTACTTCTAATGTCGTGTGAACAGATACATGCAGTGACATTGTGCAACACCTTCATTAGCAGAATGTCAGAAATGATAGCTTCAGCTGATAATCAACCGAGTATACCTTTGGAACCAAATTAGTGTGCAACTGAGTATACTTCGTAACCTTCACGATGTGGGGAAAAGTAAAACACAAGACTAACCGAAAGTCTGTTCCCAAAAAGGGAAAGTGGTCATTTATACCCTTTTGTGTCGTGTTCCTTCAGGAAAGCAACAAGTGCCCGAAATGGAAGAACAACACAAATGGCAAGAGTGGGTTCCATCTAAGTGGCAGTCCTTTGAGATGCCACTCAGCAGGTGACCGCGTGATGTGATTTTCGAGAGTGAAAGATGGAGGACGTTCTGTTCTGTCTGAATGCGGACTGCTCCTGTCACAGTTGGAACTGTTTAACCTTTACTTACTTGCAACGAGGTTGGGGGTTCTTAACCACCTGGGTTTTGCTAGATTCGCGCTGCTGATGATTTCGAATAGGAGTGAAACGGTTGCACCGTTTGCCTCGACTTCTCGGCACTGGTTAACTTTACTTACAGGACGAAATATCGACTTGACGTGCTACTAGTCGTAAACAAAATAATGGATTGGAGTGTCCGTTGGAGTGGCTTAATTTGCAAACACGTGTCTGCCTAGACAGGTATGTTTTATCAGGCATAATAAAAGTCGCTGGAATTGAGCCATCTCGGTTATCTAGGGATGTAGGCCAATGATTGATTATGTATTCCTTATAGTACGATACCATTCATGTAGAATACGGACGGCTGAGCAGCTGAGCAAATGTCTCCATAATAAAGTCAGTCATAACCAACTCTCTCGGGGGAGACAGATTCCAAAGAGTAGCTTACTGTGACAGAAATCGTGCCGATCTCGAAACTTTTTTCGACTTCTACAGTGAAAAATTTAGATTCACTAAAGTGGCACAAATTATTAACCGACTGATCTGTATCCTAAGGTTTGTCTGACAGGCAGAATGATTGGACAAGAAATATGGATAATTTAGAAAATTTAAAAAATATTCTTCCAGTGCTCAAGTGTCCTGCTTCATTGGTGCTTGCCGCTCGCTTAGATGAATTTCACCGTTTACTACATTAGTTTACCAAGCATTCTGGAGGTCTTGAGTAAATTCCTCGGAGTTGCCCCAAACCTTAAATAACCATATATACCCCGCGGAACATTCGCATACAAGATCTAGGTGCTAGGTGCCCATCTAAAATTCTTCCCTTGCACAAACAGCTAGTTCGGAGACTTTGCATCCAGGTAACACATTTATTTCAATGAGATTCACGTGTTCTGACCGGTTCTTTTCAGTTTTGTGCTCTTAAAATACAGAATGAGCTATACACTTATCTTAAAAATACAGGAAAGGAATTTGAATGAAAACTTTCAGCTCATTACTTCTCCAGGATTTTGGCATTGTGAACCCAAAAAGAACGCCTACAATGCAGGCAGAGATAATCGTTGGTTTTTCACATTAATTAGGCAGAAAAATTTACTTGGTTGTCAGTTGAGAAGTTATCGAAACAAAAGCTCTAATTGGTTCATGTATGCAAACAACTGTGCCCGTTCATTTCAACTGTTATACCCAGAACATTCACCAGGCTAAAAATCGTTCAACAACCATGAATTCTACATAACTGGTAGTTAAATGGTCTGAGTTCTAAAAGGTCGATATTTTTCGGATTTATGTAATATATTCATTAGAAATCTAGTCGAGATTCTGGTACGGTGTATGTGTGACGTGTGTTAAAGTTGACTATTAGTTAATTTGAATTTTCACCTAAAGCGACCGACACTGGTGAAAAGTATTCTACCTAACGTTGGTTTTCCACTGATAAGCATAGCTGGTCAATATTTCTTTGAATGACACTGTGGTGATTTTCCACTATAAGCATAGCTGGTCAATATTTCTTTGAAGTCGATATCCTTAACTTTGGTGAACTCTTACCGTCAACGTGATTCGGAAGCTACTTATTCTTTTATTTGTCATAGGTTCTGCTTTAGAAGACACCCTTAAGAGTCTGATGTTTCGTCCCACTTTCAGTTACGCATTTTGGGACTTTGAAAAAACTAATGACTGACCTAAACGTCTGCTTTGCATGCGCACTAGGAGAAATATGCAAAAAAGGTCATCATATAATTTAAATCGCCCATTTGAGCAACATCCGCTTTCCGAATCATGCTTGTAGACTTTAGACTAGCTTATCCTTCGGTAAATTCAACATGTCTTCCAATAGTTTATCTAACTTGAAACACACTATCATAACAATGGGGCGTTGGAGAAAGGCTGTAGTTTGGTCTCTAACTGATAATTTACCTAAGCAACAGAAGTACAGCAGCAGACAGTGAATATTGCCTGAGCGAACCATCAGCTGACCGATGTATGGTCACGTGACCAACATCCAATACGAAGTTTTGTGAACTGCCTTTGCTAAACCCGGGTTTGAAACAATAAGTATCTGGTGTGGGCATGCATAAGTGAACAAAGCAATGAATTACGTTTTAACAGAGAGGGAGCTACGTGGCATCTTAGGCAGGGATCAGCCGGATCTTCTGAGACGTGGTGGGATTGATGTTGTGGTTGAAGTTTTGGATGAGAACTACGCCGTAAGTTTAATTCAGTTTGACAGCTACTCAAATGGCTACGTTTTACTGTTAGGAATCCTCTTTCATCTCAGAGTTTAGAGCTTTGTTTTGCAAAGGAACAAGTAGAATGTATCGGACCGATGAATGTTTAATGCGTAGGTTTCTAAGATGTTGAGTTCGGATATGAGGTTTATAAGGATCGTTTTTATATCAAGATATTATTAAGAGAGTGGTTAGAATACAAGTACTGGACTACCTTCAGTATGAACTGATTTCAATAAGAGAGGAGGGTGAGCATTTAGATTGAAAAGCTTATCTTATAAATACGCCACTTTGTACTGGAAACGACTGCTGTGAGTACGCAGCTACCATGACAGTAGCGAGTATGGATTTGACGACGGTTGGTTTGGACGTCAATAATCCCATCAGTGCCAATAAATAAATTCATTTGAGATTGCGACTTCCACCGTCCAACTGTTGTTTCGGAGATGGGTGCTTGGGTGCATTAACTGGTAGTTGATCTGTTCGCCGAAGTCAACAACTGACTTGCAAACTTTTCATCACCATTCGAGAAGGCATCTTCAATGCGCTGTTCAGCGCAATGTTCTGGTTTTATTTTCCGTTACTTCTTTCACTTAGCGCCATGAAGATGAGAAATTACGGAAAATCATGGCTGTGGAACAAGACCGTCAAAAAAACAAAGAGCAGGAGCTCGATTCGGATATCATTAATCGAAAATCACAAAAGCTGTTGACAAAGGCGAAGCACACTCAACCTGTAAGGGAGTCAAAGCCGCCAAGCAGCATTCCTTGGATGGAAACACAGAAACCGGGCTTCCTTCCTTCCCCCGCTCTGAGAACTACGGGAGCCACCCAGGTAAGGCTGCTAAAATACAATCCCGCCGGATACGTAGTTGCGGATTTTAGGAAGGATAATAAATGTTTTACAAATGTGCGTCAGCTAAATACTGTCCCAGCCTGCCGCGAAATGTAGAAAAATGGCCACTGAAAACATCATTAATTTTATGATCTGAAAAGATCACCTAAAATGGCCGCGCATAACGAGTTTCATATTTAAGGAGCAAATTAAGTTGAAGAATGTCATGAACGAATGGTCTTATCGGGTCTCTAGTTAGCCGCAATCAAGTTCGCAAATGAGTGTTCCTGACCACACACCTTTTTTCGTTAGGCCTTTTGATTTGTCAATATTTATGAAGTGATTCGAAGAGCACACTGAATGCGAGTTCTAATGGAACGGCCACCAGGAAGATTAGCACTTTAGGCAGCCACTCTCTTGACCGGTAGAAAGCAATCCTGCAAATGAGTGTTCTTGACCACACACCATTTTTCGTTAGGGCTTTTGATTTGTCAATACTTATGAAGTGATTCGAAGAGCACACTGCATGCGAGTTCTAATGGAACGACCACCAGGAAGATTGGCACTTTAGGCGGCCACTCTCTTGACCGGTAGAAAGCAATCCAATTTTTTTCGGACGTCGACATAGAATACATTGAACGGCCGAGGTGCCTGATTGTTTTCGGAGGTCACATTGGGGACTGTGGTCCGGTTCACTCTGAGTCACGTGACATTTAACAGATCTGATGCATTCTGCGTTTTCCATGTGGCATGATTGCCACACAACAGATGAGTAATGCGCTATAAACGAAGGCCACCATCATGCGGTTCATATTCCCTTACGAGCATTATTTACATTGATGATTAGTTTCAACAGGAGCGCGACAACTTTGACTTTGATGTAGAACGACAACATCACTTGAGCTGTGACACGGGATAAATTTCCGAAACGTGTTGATAGCTTACCTCCTCTATACCGCCGAGCAAATAAGAATCAAATATATTTCGTCTAGCTGCAATAACACTAGACTTTTTCCTTTTCAGGGAACAACTGCGATTGCTTTTTCTACAGGTCCAACATTTGCCAAGATTTAGTTGAGTGTCAAACGATGAGAAGATTTCGTTTGTCATTTGCTGTAAATCTTCTAGAAGCGGGGTCTAGGTAGAAATTAAATCCCGTAGCTGAGTAATTCGGCATCCTTTTTAATGAATACACATCGCTGCCAGTTCATCCATCCGTGCTTGCTGGACTGCACAATTTGGAATTACAGATCTGGAAGTGTGGGAATTTTACAGATCTGCAATTTCGCGTTCATAGTAAGACACAATTAATCAGCCGACAGGGGTGACAAAATACTAAGTTTTACAGAATTGTTGAGCTACGACATCTACCTACTTATCATTACTTCTTATCACTGCCAACACCCATCTATTAAACTATTTTAACTCTCATCCAGTGCAGCGTACCATTGGGCTGTTGTCTTTCTGAATAAAAGGCTAAAGAAAACCGTACAGCAGAGTAAAACAGTAGGGAAAAAGACGGCGATCCAGATAAAGTGTTTCAATCAGATATCTGGTTGATAGTTGATAACCGTTTTCTGGGATAATTTGGCAATTTAAAGGTCAATATTTTGGTGATTTTGCGTTGCCCAGTTCAATACACTAGCTCATCCCATGATAAAAAAGTTTGTCTGCGTGCTGTTATCCGGAAGTTAAGGTTCACATAGATAGCTAACATATTACAGATAATTTAGTGAGGAGTAGAATTTATCTCGGCAGTTGAAAAATATTACCTATCGTATATTGTGTGTTGGTATAGGAGTATTGGTCTACTATGCCTTACTTATCCCACGTACATGTTCATACGAATCCTCAGGACAAAGAAGTCGTGGAAGATGCACGTCCCGAACACGGTGAAGAACAAGCAGGGTCTATTGCTGAAGCTTTAGAAAATGAAATTGTTGCAGTTCAGCAACAAGTGGATCCAGATGCTTGTTTGCATTTACAACTATGGATGGTCCGCAATCCTACGGAACTCATGCGGGAGTTTTTGCAAACAGAGGTTCGTCTATTAATTTTAGAATTTTCCTTCTTTTTTGATAGAGCAACGAGAGCAGGTGTTATGCTGTACCGACCCAAGGCGCATGCATTGAAATATAAGTTTGGGACGCAGCTACCTATATAATCCTACGAATGCACTTCGCTTCTCACGAAATGTCTCTTTTTGAGTTGAGCTGATTAAGTGTTTATATGACGGAGGTAGTTTGTACACCGAAGATATTCTGGAGCCCTAAACACCTGGACGTGAACTGAAGGTTTACGAGGACTGGATAAAAACCTGGGGGAGTATCTCGTCTGACTGATTTACTGAAGAGTTCTACTAGCTTACCGCTCCTGACGACATGCAGATGAATATCAGTCAGCTGCGTATAAGATGTCTTCCAGTCCTCTGAGACATTGGGGGTTATGGTGATGTCTGCGTTTGTGCTACCCAGCCTGGCTTACTTTTCAGACTGCAAGATGTTGGGTTGCATGGAAACACGGTTTCAAACAATCAAATAAAGGAAATCATGAACTTAATGTTTTGTGTACCAAAGGCTCTAATTTATTTGTGCACGTTTCCTGGTTGGAATGATAACGGAGAAGCTTTCGCGACGGTTGCATAATCTTTGAAGCGTGCGTTCAAATCATGTACATATGTATAACGCATGTAGAATCTCTTGCATCCGTGTCTTCTCCAATGGAGCACCCCTTCTATTCCAGCTTAGTCATTCTGGTTAGTTCAAACCAAAGGGAGTTGGTAGTGAGCTCAAGTTTTTTTCTTTATCAAGCACTGGGGATTTCACTGTTGCTCTTGAGAGGCAAGGGAAGCGTGCCCTCAATAATCCATTAGTGCCTCCCAAGACAATAAATCTGTTACGATTGTATGATTCAGCCTGTTCAGAGGGCAGCTGTTCAAACGAGGGGACGAAACTTCAAGATAATGTAACGGGACCATCTCAGACAGTAGCCGGGAATGTTTACTGATATTCTCATATTTGGGCGATAAATCGATTTTTTGGTTGGTGCTTGTTAGAGTCAGTGTATTGTGTTAGAGAACTGAGAACTGGAAAATTGATAATCTAATTGCTGAAGCCCCCAGAACGAGGTAAACAAGTGTTGGTTGCAAAGAAAGAAAATGTGGTGAGTGCCGTATAACTGACAGGATAGAAATATTTCCTTAGCATAGCATAACACGATACACACAGGGACTACTGTGCAACTATCAGTCTATCTATCTATCTATCTATCTATCTATCTATCTATCTATCTATCTTATCTTCTATCAATCTATCAATCTATCTATCTATCTATCCTTCTGTCTGTTTACCTACCTATCGTCCTAGATGTCTATCTAAACCGGGTCTAAAAGTTGCATAGGTGGAGAAAATTATGTTGCCACTTTACTGTGATGACCTGAATTGGAATGTTTGTCGTAATACATGGTTGTTAACATTAAAGTCACTTCATCTCAATATCAAATGTGAATATTATTCATGCCACCAAAGTGAGAGACCAATTGGAAGCCATTAAGTTTCAATTTTATTATTAAGATGTAATTCTTTTTAAGGGCTTCCCCATCTAACGATGATGATGAAGTTGATCGGTTAGTACCAATAACCTTAAACAAAGACTCCCCATATACATTTGGTTTTGTGGCCTTACAACCCATATAGTTCCACCAGCATGTTTGTTTTTGATACTTGGTACTGTCTTGGATAGGTGTCTTGGGTCAGAGCTTCTTAGTTGCTCCGGTGCAGTATCTAGAAATAAACATTCCTGGGCACGGCCTTTATATCACGCTGATCATGTAAGTCCCAACTTTGACTTGATATCGCTCAGTTTTCTGGGCTCTTTTGTTTGGATTGATGATGCACATCGGCTCTAAAATTCATTGATTCAAATGTCAAAAACCCATTGGGATAGACTTGTGGGAGAACACACAATTGGAATCATGTGATGCAGCAAGGAACTCATTTGAGAGAGGCCTTCGTGAACCCTCAACTTTTGAAGCTGAGAGTGTATTCATCAACAGGAACGGTAAACGTTTGGGATTCGAAGCTGTCTAGTGAAAGTGGTAAAAGACCAGGTCATTTAGTCAAATTATATAGACCAAAAAGTATGTTCAGCGTTTTTCTGCGGGCAAGAAAAAGCCTCATTCTGGATATTATCCTTTTTAAAACAAACGTTGACAAAATTCTTCTGAAACAACTAACTTGCTTCTTGCCAATCATGTTTCACAGCATAACCGGCCACTGTATCTGCTTGGGAATGGCCTCGTTGTGAGAGATATAAAAACAGCGACTGGCAAATCGCTACCTGTGGAGGAAATCCTTAAAACACAGGTACAGAACGTGTAAAACAGTTGGTGCTTTGTGGCAGAAAGGTTGGTCTATCAAATAATCTGGCATTTGTATTTTGTAATCATACGACAGATTTTGCTGACTAGCAATCACCTGAAAATTCAAGAAAACCACACATGAGGAACGTATTCCAATATCTGGGACATCTCTATATTCCCTTGCTATTTCTTTCAAAGTTTCGAAGTATTTTCTGTACCTTTGTTTTATAATACAGTTACCAAATAAACCGTATTTTCGGTCATTGCGGTGAGGGTCATTAACATTGCATATTTTAGAAACAGAACATTGATTTGGGTGAAAAAATTATTTTCTCACGTGGGCTTCTAGCGCTGCTGGCTAGGCTCATCTCAGTTAAAGCAGGGACTTAGCTGACTACATTGTAATAAGAACAAGTGATATTTTGTCACAAGCTAGATTGCTGCAGATAGGAGACTTACCCAAACCACATGTGTATCTTTCATTGACAATAGTCTTTAAATACAAGTGCTGGACGAAGCCTCCTAATGTATCGTTTGAAAGAATATTGATTCACCTCTCATTACTACTCATAGGGTGGATTTGTTTTTACAAACGATTGTCTAATGGTAAATAACCATAATGAGCTTTAATTCAAGCTCCCAGCAGGTGAACGTAAATAAATTGGCAGAACTTGAGCAAGAATGCGGATAATTCTGCAGGATCCGAATTTTAATGAATCGTCCATACGAAAGGTTTCGCGTTTGATTGAATCTTTGTTGTTCTTTGTATCGGCGCACACTACATCATCCAGGTTTCAGCGTTTCCAAATCACAGACTAAAAAGATGAGGGTTTTTTGTATAATCCAGTTTGTTCGAGAATAGAATTATCAACCAGGTTTAAAACGGCTGTTTTTCTCTGTTAGTGCATTATTCTTAAAAGGGACCCTCTAACTGGCTTCATGAAGAGCATCTTAATAGTGACCGTAAGATTTAAATGATGAATGAAGCCGACGACGGTTTCTACAGTTTGGACGAGGCGTTCGAAAATCCTTCATTAGCTCGTTCAATTTTGGCTCTCTTTGACCATAAGAAACCTACTAGTATGAATATTTGATGAAAACGTTTAGGTTTTCAAAATTGTTTACCTAATGTCACAGTCTTTCACGTTGGTAGTCTCTTGTCCGATTTATCCCTGAAATGAAGCAAGAAACAATCTATGGGGTAAGACGACACTTTGACTAGGTAGAAATTCAGCAAGTCCATGATATTTGAACGTTTTAGTAGCTGAAAATTTTTTTCTATCCTTCCGGCCCACACTCACAGGTAAATAGCATACTCAGGGTTAATATTCCATTGTCGCCATGGCTACAGTAGCCCTGGTTACGACTGATAGAAGTAGGCTTGTCTTAAAACGAACGACCAATTGAATGTTTAAATAAATCTCAATCTAGTGTAGAATCAAGTAGGATGAATTTAGTAAGACTCCTCGGACGATTCGCGGTGTTTCTCAGAGTGAATGGTGAGAGAGGACACACCGATGTTTTATGGAACACCCTTGTTTTGAACAGCATTTATAGTCTAGACAAGATAATCTGAATGGTCCGAGATGTTATGCGGTTACAGCTGGGTCAAGCAAGAGCATCAAACGGGCAAAATAAAGAAGCACAATTATAAGTAGTTCGTAAACTGGTTGGAAAATAAGTTAATTTTCATCCTAATAGAGACGTTGAAGACAGGCATTTTATATGATGAGGAAATAAGTTATGATTTTTGGGACGATTGTTCCTCCTGTAGAACCCCTTCCTGTGGAACCAATTCTTAAAAAAAAGTCTTCGTATTTCAATCAATTGGGAAAGGTTTGGAACCGATTGAGAAGTCATCGTTTCAGAAGAGTTTGATAAACGATCGGTAGTTATTATTTGGGCAACGTTTCGCTTTTGACACAAAAGCTTCATCAGGCGAAGTGAGCAGGTCACCAAATGGGCCAGGTTATAGGGCAGACGGGGAACCAATCAGTAAGCCAGTCCTCTTCAGATCATCACACTAGATCAGTGTTGAGTGTCAATTATCGGCTCTTGTCGGTTAGTGAAATTGTCAAAATCTTGCTTTGGTGGATTGGGGAGGGGTTCAAATTAATTCCGATCAGGTTTGGTTCGTTAATCTTCCACTTTGGGGTGCTTTAGTTGATGATTCACCTTGGTTGCCACTGATAGATTTCCATGGTCTTTGTGGGGTCTTGATTGCTCGGATAATTTAGTTTCAGGAGGCTTGAGGTCAAGTGGAATTCAGCTGATGACCACTCTTCCTTCCGATGACCGCACACCAACACGTGTCAGCTCGACTGATCCAGAACCGTTCTCCACATAATTGCCAGTTCCACACCTTCTATTCCGTTAACACTGGGATGCTTGACAATTTCTGCCGCCTGGGCGATCAGTCTGTGACGTGGACCGTAGTCCTCGCCTCAAAACCTCAACAGTTTCTAAATCTATTTTGTGTCCCTTGTCGACTGCATGTTCCGCAATCGCCGAGTCTCTCAGTAACGCTTGATATTCATCTGCGTATCTTGGTGGCCTGTCTATTTTTTTTTAGCATTTTTTTCGTATTTGTCCATTAAACTCCACTGATAAATTCCTCTGATTAATTCCTTGCCAGCTCTACACCTTCTATTCCGTTAACACTGGGATGTCTGACGATTTCTGCCGCCTCGGAGATCAGTCTGTGACGTGGACCGTAGTCCTCGCCTCAAAACCTCAACAGTTTCTAAATCTATTTTGTGTCCCTTGTCGACTGCATGTTCCGCAATCGCCGAGTCTCTCAGTAACGCTTGATATTCATCTGCGTATCTTGGTGGCCTGTCTATTTTTTTTTAGCATTTTTTTCGTATTTGTCCATTAAACTCCACTGATAAATTCCTCTGATTAATTCCCCTCCTAAAGCAGCTTTATTCACCGCTGGACGAAAAAGATGAGGTTTAAAATACGTTGACACAGATGTGACACAGGAGTTGTGAATGATTCCGTCTTATGTGCCACGTGCATATAGGATGACCGGTTCAAATCACAGCCTTTGGTATTAAAAGGCGTTTGATATATGCGTTTGTTTGACATACAAATTCAAAACTGCTATTCTGAACTCCGACATCATTTGACTGATGTTTGTTATTGGATTTCCAATTTTGGTAATACGAAATGCCAACTAACAATGTGATCAGAAAATCGTCACTGTTAGAAAATTTTGCTAGTTGGGTATTGCAATTAATGTCAGTGATCGTTTTTAAAGAGACTTGAAGAAAACCTGTCTATTTCATCGACGCAGCACAAACTATCACGCTGAAAGTCTCAGAGGACTCCTCATAGAGGCATTAACAGACCTATATCAAGGTGCTTCCAGATATGGAAGCCGGTAAAGCACTAAAAAAATAAAAATATATTGGCAAGATGGCACGACTATCCGTAGAATAGGGGAAAGGAATGGATACGCTTCAGTAGAGGGATATTTCAGTACTTACCGCAAGAGGTTAAAAATCAAGAATACAATAAACACGGATTATGAGCGCTTCAAAGCGGTAGAGGCATTCGTACTCAGATTTCATCAACTGCTAGAGTACACCAACAGTGTTTACTCTTTTGGCATATCCTGCACCCAAAAAACTCCAAAGATAATGGGATTGCTAACTAATTTGTCACATTAATCTAACTTATACACAAAAGTATGCTCATATGGTACATCGGACCCTTTTGGCTCGCAATATCGGATGTGTAACAAGATTATGTAATCTGTCATCGTGTTGACCATAATCACAAATTTATCCCAACAGAACCCATAAATCATTTTTAAGACTCAGTTTATTATGCTTAATTCAAGATCAGTTGTCACTTCCTGTGTCTAAGCGCCTGTAATATACACGACAAGTCCAGTTGTGCTAAAGCGGGTCATTCGCGTATCTTCTTCAGTCTTTACATTGAGTACAGGTGCAAAATTATTTTCTCTGATATTCGGTGGGCTTTGTATCACTGGACCTGAGTTAAAGTATCTAAAAAGTGTTTCTTTTCATACTGTCGTTCCTAAATCCTATGTGCAAAGGTGGTAGCCTAGGTAGAAATTTCGGTATTAAAATGCCGTACAAACCGTGGTAAATATTTTTGGAACATCAGTCGCAACATTCATTCACAGAAGTGAAATTTTGTTGCCCCGTTTAGCTTTACTGCCTCGTATTGTCATGATGTCACTGTGTATCAACATGCGACCCGATTCGGACGATATCTGGATTACTTTTCTTATACGGGATGAGCTGTCCTGTTGTAACTAAGGGACAGAGCAAACCAGATTTGCTCCAATAAAATAATGAAAGTCAATCAATTTCCAAGTGACGTTCATTCAGAAAGCAACAGCTGAAACACGAACCGATGGTTATCACCAGCGGAATTTCAAAAGATCACTGCTTTCATGGTAGACAGCACAGTAGAGAACAACCTGGAGATCATAATTATCGAAGTAACCATAAAGGCTTGTTGCGAAAACTGCAGTGGTGCTTATGTAGGAAATATTAGAATAAAACCAAGGAATAAACCTTGGTTTTCAAGACTGCCGTTCTTTCTGGGGCACAGGTAGACAGCAGAGAACAACCTGGAGATCATAATTATCGAAGTAACCATAAAGGCTTGTTGCGAAAACTGCAGTGGTGCTTATGTAGGAAAGGAAAGAATAAAACCAAGGAATAAACCTTGGTTTTCAAGACTGCCGTTCTTTCTGGGGCACACCACTTGATTCCGATTAAACCGTGGTGCGCGCACGCTTGACAGTTCGCTTCCCTTCAGACCATTGCAAGTCGGAAAGAAGCATGCCAATCCACTACCTTCGAAGAACTGCCATAGCTCAACATTATCGATCTGAGCTAGCCCAACAACTTGCCACAGTAAAACAATACTGTGGTGGCAGAGAACATGTGGATGAAACGTGGCAAAATGTGAAAGGAGCTATGCTAGCGGCGTTCAGTGCTGCCCGGCCGACTTCTCCAATTCGACCACAGGACCACTGGATTTCGTCGAGGTCGTTGTCCATGATTGATGTCAGGAAAGCCATACCAGGAGGCAACGAGTACGACGACGCACGGAAATCCCTCAAACGGCAAATAGTGAAGAGTCTAAGGGAAGACCGAGAGCTCTGGTGGACATCGAAAGCTCGAGGGATGGAGAAGGCTTCTGCTACGGGAAACAGCCGTGCCCTTAATCAACTGATACGGTCGACTGGCTCTAGCAA